CTGGTGTATTCAAATCACTGGAAACCAATAGATAAGGTCTCCCTGCTTCCTCTAAGACTTGTTTGTGGTGATCTAGTTGAATCTGGTGTATTCAAATCCTCTCTACTGTGCAGCAGGTTTCAGAAGATCACATTTTTGGAACAGTTTTGTTAATTAACTCAAAACCTGGGCTTTTGTTAACCTCTCCCCAATTTGGTGAACTAAAATCTAATGTGGTGAGAAGGTTGTGGGAAACAAAATCAAAACAAACAAAAATAAAAACAATCACCAGGGTTCAATTTAGACAATTTATTAGGAATTATTGGTCCCTGTCTTTGTTTTTCCTTGTCATGGCTTGCGCAATATAAAGTACATGTCTAAGGTCTCCCAGGATTTGAAAGCAATATATGACTTCAAATGTTATTTTCAGCTGTAAGTGGAATACTTGGTTTGATATTCAAATAGCATCGTCTACGTAATGCTCATCACCTGCCAGCCGAGCAGTGTTAAAAATGTGTTGAAAACTATATTTAAATTTCAATATCTCCTCTGGAGTAAAAGTCTGGCTAAAAATGTAAAAATGGCTAACAAGGTATTCCTTTTTTTTTTTTTTTTGTCAAGACCATTCTTTTAAATTGTAATTATGATGTGTATTTCAAAGGGTCTGATGTAATATTTGTCAAATTTTAGGAGGAGAGTTCTGATGAACAGCCCATCAGTATCAAGTCAAGCATTGTAGATATTGCCCATGACTACACTAAAAGAAAGAATGTTTTTAGATTGACTACATTCAATGGATCAGAGTTCTTATTTCAGGTAACCCACTTAAACAATCTTGTAGACAATTGGGAGCCCTTTCTTAGCCTGAGGTACACTACACATAAGTTAATTTTTTTTTTGTGTGGAAAGAAAGGTGAACGGTTTGACTCCCAAGATCTGATTGTTAATTCTCCACTCACTTGCTGTACATTTCCACTTAAAATGGTTTTGAGGATTTTGTGTTTGATCAAAAGAACACCTTCTACCTGATAAGTTTGAGTATTCTCATTAAATGTACCAGTAGAGGTCAGTGGTTCGAATCCCGTACAGGCCTGATTTTTTTCAGGTCTGATTTTCGCTATTGCATGAATAGCGCTCTCTACTGCGAGGATCGTCTATCTTACGTATCATTCTGTTATAGAGCGAAGATCCTGAGTCGATGATGTCTTGGATTGAAGCCATTCAGGCCAATAACAACCCGGATGAAGATGTTAGTTTGTCTTTCATTCTTTTAAGCTACTTAAAGCGATTACCGGTACACTGAGTGAAGAATATCAAAATGGAGAAATCACGGAAATTAGGGAACGAAATTGTCAAATAATACGAACAAAAATACTATCTTGAGTGTTTGGGGGGTTCTAGATGTTTACAGCTTCAATGTACCCTACTCAATGATTTTTAAGCTGCAAACTGAGGTAACTGATATTTTTTCATGTAGGTTTGCCAGAATGCTTGTATTCCCTCTCTTTCTTCTCTCTCCTGTTCCCTCTTGATGTTGCACCAAGTTGTATTACTAACAAATATATCTTATTAACCAAGCGCGAGGGCCGTACTGGGAGAATATCGGCCCGTGGTCTTGACAATACGGACCAAGCGCCGATATTCTTCCAGTACGGTCCCGAGAAAGCTTGTTTAATAAGAGATTTATTATACGACTGAAGTTCAAAGGGACACAAGTGCGGTATCATTCGGGACCATTCGGGACAGTGCCCGGTCCAATACTTAGAGAATATTGACCGGCAATAGAGCATTTTGATTGGTTGATTTTAGTTATTGGCCGAGTCGTGTAATAAGAACCCTTATTGTTTGGTGTTGCACACCTTGCAATAAGATCATTGAAGATGTAAGATAACTTTTTCCTGTAGGAAAATGGTGTGAGTAGTCAAAGTCTGATCATCAGGAGAATGAAAACGGTGGAACAAGAGACTTCTGGGTAAGAAATAAACATCGAATCTTAAAACATGTAATAATAATAACACCTTTATTTAGACACGATAATGTTTAGAGCTGAACAGCTTGTGGGGTCGTGTGTAAATCTAAATAAACTCTAAAATTAAATAAATTCAAATGATGATGGTTTTTGAGGAGAGGGGAAAACCGGAGTACCCGGAGAAAAACCTCTCGGAGCAGAGTAGAGAACTAACAAACTCAATCCACTTTTGACCCGGGGTCCGGGAATCGAATCCAGGACACGTTGGTGGAAGGCGAGCGTTCTCACCACTACGCCAACCCTGCTCCCCTGTATTTGTTATAACAACTGTCAGTCTTGTTGCGTGGAAGAAAATTTATGTTTGAAATTAATTTTACAACTGTAAGGTGGACCACTCTTGTTGTATGAATCTAGGCCTGTTTCGAACTGTTTGAGTATTATCAATGAGATGGATCTCCTTCAGTCCACCTCATATTATTTCTTTTAAACGGGGGAATATCGTTACTCTGAAGGGAGCCATGTCAGGCTACGGTTAGTCGGTTTTTTTCAGCGTTGAGTTTTTCCTTTGAATAGAACGAGACAAAATTGTCAACTTAACTCTTCACACCTTAACATCAGCATGCGTATTCTCCCAACTCTTCTCTGTACATGTCCTTTTTTGCTGACAAGGAGAATTCGTTCAACGATCAAAGTTTCTTAGGTTGGCGATCAATTCCATTATTCTCGTGATTGCAATGAATGATTCAGCAGTATTTTTGTGAGGAGAATTTAGATGCTGGTCATTCAAGGAAGATAAACGCGAATGGCAAGTGACGATACGTGTTCTCTCATTATAATTAACAAATCGACAGTGATTTAGCCTGGTCTGTACTCTTATCGACAACGATATTCGTGATCACAGTGGTCAAAATGTTGTGGAGAGTCAGCCGCAACAATGTCAAAGTCAATTAAAACGATTCTTACAGTGCGTGACATGTTGCGTGACATGTTGACGCGAGCAGCGTTGTCTGTACTCTTATCGACAAGGGGAAATTGGCCAATCAGATTGCGACATTACTGCTAATTGTGGTAAAATTATTATTGTTTGGCGAATCATTGTAAGTAACTGAGCAACCGCGTACCTACCCCTCCCCTCCCCTCCCCTTCCCTTCCCTTCCCTTCCCTCCCCTCCCCTCCCCTTCCCTTCCCTTCCCTCCCCTCCCCTCACCCAAAATTAACCCCAAATTTTTATCAGTTGACTGGTAATTTGTGGAAGGGGTGGGTGTGTAATGGCTTAGACACTGATTTTGATCTATTGTTATCTGTTTAGTACAACAGCTGCTTCGTCTGGTCACAAGATGTCACCTCCAGTAAACACCAAAATACACAGCCTTGGAATATCAAACATCAAGAAGAGCCTGTCATTCAGGAATATCACCGCTGGACCGAAAGGTACAAGACGTATCTATGTTGGTAGTCTAATGCTGGGATAGTCTGAGCTTGTTTAATATGACTCGTTCCTCTCCTCACTGTTACATGAAGTGGAGAGAGAAGGCGTTACAGCAAGCGATAGTTTGAGAATTAGAAAACGCAAAATGGTGTTCAAAACATTTATATTCTTCCTTTGTTGACTTAGTTTAAGAGAAATCCTTGGTATAATTCTTTGGAAAATTATTTCAATGCGAACTGGGAAAGACAGCGAGGCTTTGAAATTCACACTAGCGGCCTCTTCTTGACGGTTTACGCACATTTTTATTGTTTCTGCTACTTTAAATTCCATCCCTATTTTTCGCCGCAACTTTTGCAAGCTCTCTCTTTTCCTGCCATTTGAAACTTTGCACTGTCCACTTGTATTTCCTTGTTATTTATTGGCTTTTGGAAAATTGTCATTTTTGGTGATGGTTTTCTTTCTGAAGGTGAAGGTGGAAAAAACCATGGAAACAAATTCACCAAGAAGCGGAAGAAACCTCAACACCCAAATAGTTACCCGTCAGGTAGAGTAACTCAGCAGCGAAGAGTGGTCGCAAATATTACTGTAGTTGACTACATTTAAAACAAAAGGTGTTATCGCAGTTGTAGTTTTATTACATTGTAAGCTTACTTGTGTGTTAATGGTAGAATTGTCTCTGTGTTGATCATAACACGTGGAGCATACAGAGTATTTTAACTTTTGAAAACGTTTAAATTTTTGAGGAGATCACATCCATAGCGCCGTTGTTGTGACAATGTAAGCTACTTATTGTGATCTATTGAATTTGCAGGGCACTCAGTTGGCGTACCATTAGAGCTGTGTCCATCATCCAAGTCTAACAAGGTGGGTTTAAAAAGTATTTACACCGCATGAATATCAGGGAAACTCGTGAACTCTAGGGAAAAAATGAAAAAAAAAAAAAAAATTAAGAATTGTCTCATCCGTCACCCACTAGCCATTTCGAGCGCGCGATAAATGAGAGAGCAACAAAGCCACCTCACTCATCACATGATGAGCACGAACCAATCAGGTGTGTCCTAGAACCGGAGGATTTAGAGCTCATTTGATTTGGCCGAGTGGCTCCAACAAAGCCGTGCCCACTTTGATTCGACTTTTCTGGCGATGTTGGGCTGCGAAATAATGGCGACTACCAATTTGACAGAAGGTGAAACACAAAGAACACCTCTTTCTTAGATGGGTTGCATCAACGATCGATTTGTTTCTCAGCAGTCAACATTCTCCTTTCCATCTCAGCATCATTGGAAATTTTCCAATCCTTGTTGCCCTCCGCGATGAATCTTCCCTTCATCCGCCGTCCAAATTCTTGTATCGTTGTCTGGCAACAGCTGATCTGATATTTCTTCTTTTCAAGACTCGGTCACCGGAGTCGACGTAGAAGTCATTGCACCCATTTCGCAAATAACAACATTATATAATTGCCCACTTCAAATTGTCGGAGGTTTCGGAAGTAAGGCTGATCTCTTTGACTTCATTGCTTTTGATACTTGGATGGACCTTTCTTTCCCCTCAGTACTCTATCACCCAAGTCGCGGTCTATTTTTAGTAAAAGAAAAAACAACGTTGTTTTTTTATGTTTTTTGGATCACCAAATTTAAAATATTTTGCATAGCTGTCCCTTCAAGACTGACCTATGGCAGTTCTTCGTTCAAGAAGGTTTTAAAGTCCTTTTGGCTGAAGAAAAGACATGAATATACTTATAGAAAGACTTTCGTCATCAACTGCTAAATCTTTATTTTCTTCCTTTTTCTTTTTTTGTCAACTTAATTTTTATACAAAAAGTATAGAAACAATATTGACAATGATGATTTAGTTTTCTTGTTTCAGAATATGCATCCCTCTGATCCTTATGCGATATGTTTTTGTATAAATGAGTAGAGAGGTTTATCTGGAATGAACTTTATGGTTTTTATGCTCCTTCTTGCCTTTTTACTGTACTCTTAATGTTAAATAACATTGTTGTAGATTTACAGCGAAATAATGAACTGAAACTGTAAACCATGGGCAACACAATCAGAAACTTGCATGTATCCTGGTTTTTCTTTGCTTTCAAAAGCAATTTCCACTTAATTGTTTGGAGAACTTTTGAACATTTCAGTAGGTGTATTATCATCGTTAAAGAATTTATCGTAGTCGTCGTCTTCACGCGCAGTTTTCAAAAAAAACATTCCTTTTATTTTCTCTTGTTCGTTTCTGCTTATCACAAGCACAGCTATCGCCGGGAAGCGGTCCTTAGTCCGTTTGTCCCATCTCCCGCTGTGCCACATTAGAACCCAGTCTACTGAGTCGACGGAGCAGTTACAGTTTCTTCGTCGACAACTACACCGCCTGGAACATAGAACAAATCTTTACCCAAATTTCAAAAGAAAAAGACACACTCCAGTAAATAGGGAAATTAAATCAATATCGTCTGTTATTGCATACTAGTGCTGTAACTGTCATAAATCAAATGAGGAATACCAGAATGACTAACAAGTTTTAATCCTGAACTGTCACGTGAATCCTTACTGTACTAACAAAAGCACTTCTTCTCTTATTTGGAAAACTTAACAGGGATAGAAATTCCTCTTCATCTTGTTTTCATACCTGCGTATATACAGTGGGTGTACATGTATCGGGTTATTGTTATCATGGTCTTTTGCGGTCTGAAAACCAAGAAAAATCTACTGCAAAAAAAAAAAAAAGAAAAAAAAAAGGAGGCAGAGATGTACACTTTCGTTCATCCATGTTAAAAGTAACTAGCTAAGTGTGCTCTTGTTACCCAGCTCATCTGTGCTACCTTTTGGATTTCCAAGACCCTTTCTAGCTTTTTAAGCTGTGCATTATGTGGAGTTTCTTTGTTGAATTCGACTGCCATAAAAGTGGACAGACTTCTTGTGCTGTTGTTGAGGCTAAGGTACAAACGAATTGTAACTTTGAAGCGCTCATGTGCCATTTTAACTGTCATTTGGGTTTTTTGTCTTTTTGTTGCTTTATGCTCCATTTCAGATTACCGTATATCTTTATGGTAGGGATTTACGGTCATACCATTTTGCTTAGTTATCTCAGTCGCCTTGTACACAAAGATTTTTCGCACACTCAGGCTAAGATTAACTTCAACAACAGCCGAGCCAAGCAAATACTCTGAACATAGCGCGATACAGAAAGGCAGTGTACAGTGCATTTTGGGTGCAGTTGGCATTAGTTGTTTGTTATTCGCCATATTGGGATCAGCCACAATGTAGGAAAACATATTATAACATAACCAAAGCAAAGCGCGCGCTCTGATTGGTCAATTTAGCGTTCCCCATTTTCCCATGGGTGTACGCTGCTGACGTGAGCAAATGCAAAGACTATTTTTCCGCGCGCGCTTGTTTTTTCTGGTCGCGTAAGATTTGTTAAATAAAAGGGAACTCTTTAGCGACAATGTATCAATGTTATGTTATAAAACAAATGGTAAACACCACAGCGTACACTATTGAGTTATGGATGCACTTGGGAGGTTTGCTAAGCACTCAAGAAGCTAGAGTCGCTCTCGGCTATGGCCTCGAGCGACTCTTACGCTTCTTTCGTGCTTAGCAGCCTCCCGCGTGCATCCATAACTCAATAGTGTACGCTGTGGTGCTTACCATTTGTTAATTCACAGCAGTAAGAGGTCATGGAGGAAATTGCACTTCTTTTAGTTTCTTTAAACTCGACATTAAATCCCTTTCTTTACTGCTGGAAGATTGGTGAAGTGAGGCAAGCAGTTAAAAAATGCACTTTTGCTGTCCTTGGAGTTAAATACCAGCTGAGTTACACTCAAATCAACTCCTCCAGACCTGACTTCTAATGCTATGGTTATTATGAATAAAAGTTCGAAGGATATTATATTGGAAGGAAGAAATAAGAGCCTCTTTACATCGTCGCGCATTTGATTGGTGAATTCAGTATCTAAGCGGATACTTTATTAGGTTATAGAGCCTACTTGTAAATAGCTATGTCCTAAAAGCAGTAGAACGCATTTTTCCGGGCTCTATGGCGTGATAAGGTCGCTTCAGATGTATGTAGAACGCTAGGAAAGCTTATAAATCACGAGCCCAGGGCGAGTGAGTGATTTAGAAGTTTTCTGTGTGCTCTCTCTACATCCCAGGTGGCTTAATCAGGTTATAGAGCCCGAAAATGTGTTATATTGCTTAAAGAAAATGATGAATAAGAAGTATATATCTTAGAGTCAAAGGAAAAGTAAAAATGCAACCATAACTTGAATTTGTTTTCTCGCAGTTTGTGCCTTTGATCGTGGAACACTGTTGTGAGGTAGTAGAGAAGAAGGGACTGGAGACCGTTGGTGTCTACAGGTGAATACTATGAAAATTTTCCGATGACTGTTGATAATGTCTCGACTCTCTAATCCTGAAGTGTGACCGGCTTCTAATTTCTCCGTACAGTATCACACTTGAATCAAATGTAAAGAGCATGAGAAAATGATCACCAATGTAATAAGCTTCTGATGATTGTTAATCAAATTCTCCTCGTCAGCACCTTTGAAAATGTATAGAGGACAGTGTGGAAAGGGTCAGACGGTCTCGGACGTCTCAAAACTCAGATCAAGCTTTGATCCTCGAAGTTTTGCGAGAAACTATCAGCATTCGTTTTAGCAATGCTGTGTACCTCATGCACAGACATTGCGATTCCACTTCACTTTACCCACAAGTTGTGTTCTTTTTTCTTTTCGTTTTGTGCATTTATTCGACAATTTTCGTAAAGAATCTTTCTTTATTATTTTCATGAACATGTGTATGATCATTTTGTTTTTCTTGTTTATTTATAGAGTTCCTGGAAATTCCGCTGCTGTCACTGCTTTACAAGAAGAGCTCAACAACAGAGGGATTGAAAATATTTGTTTGGAAGAAGAGGTACTTTTTATTCGTCATGTCTTAAGAAACTCATGTGCAGCCTTTAAACGTATTTGCATTTCAGGTTAAGGAAAGCTGCATGGCTGAGATATTTAAGTGTGACTGAGATGCATGTGGAACATTTTAGCATTAGTTTGGATAACTACATTTTTTGTGAGGTTTTTGCGAATGGCATCGAACAAGAAACTTTGCAGTAGTTCTTTTTGGTAATTGTTCGAGAGTTAACTAAATTCAAACAGCTTGGCTCGAGCCTTTTACTCAAAGCAAAGAATATTTGTAGTAATGCAGAATGGCGAGTAGTAAAAACCTTAGTTAAAAGTTGGAGAAGGACGACGTAGGGATGTTGAAATCTTGGTTTACCTCAATCATATCTTAAACAGGGAAGTAGAGACATGCGACTTGTAATTTTTTCTTGATTACCTTGATTTTTAATGCAAAGAGGTTCACTTGGCACAAGTTATTTAAACGTTAGGATCTTGATGAGGTTGTTTTTTGGAGTCTCACTTATTTTTAAATTTCTCTTTGTAGAAGTGGAATGATGTTAATAATATCACAAGCCTTATGAAACTATTCTTGCGGAAGTTGCCGGAGGGTCTTGTTACTGCAGGTAATTGAATCAGAAGCAAAGAACAATTATTAGACGAGGTCGAGCAAAGCATCACAAATTGTCAATAGCGAGCAGATAAAATTATGATTATGGGCTTGTTTTTTTTTTTTTTTTTCACACAGATTTGTACGATGGATTTATTGAAGCCAATAAGAAGGAAGACGCCACAGAAAGGATGTGGGCGATAAGATCCATGGTTAGTATTTATTGTGTAGATGTAGAGCGTTTTTGTTCTTTGGGATGAAGTCACGGTGTTTGTTGCGACTCGTACTTATATTCTGCAAACAGCGGTCAAACGTCGGGTATTCACGAGGAAATCAATTTTGGCCGCCACCCGCGCCGATTTCCCGCGCAAAATTTCCCGCGCAAAATTTTAAAGGAAAACAGGAGAAACAACAGGTGGATGAATTGTAAATCCCCAGTTGCATTCATAAAATCCTTAAACCAGAGTAGCATCAGATCATGTCTGATTGTCCACCTGGTTGCTTCGTGAACTTTAATATGTAACTCTCGTGAGACAACTTGGTTCTGACAGTCTGAAAGCATGACGCCAAGTCGTTTCAACGTTCAAAAGTGCGTAGATGTTTGACCATTGTGTTCATTACGCCGTTTGTGATGTGAAGAGCACCCAAAGGAGATAAGCGTTGGCGGCAGTTAACTCTCATGATTGAATATAAAATCAACCAGACTTTGACTATGGCGGATACTGTTGTTAACACGCAGATCCCACTTTGCAGTAAGAACTTTCCAGGTACATGCAATTGTTGATCAACCCTTCCTCTGCCAAAATCTCTTTAGTGATTCTTCCAACTGTCTGTCATATAATTCCTATGATGTTAGCTTGGAGAGTCAACTAATAAACCCCTAGTTATTATTATTCTTTGTTCTCATTACTTGTCTGCTTGATGTTGTATCGATATTGCAAGGAGCAATTGTCTTAAAATGTTAAAGTGTTAACCCTAGCACTGTAGGAAGTTTTCAGCAGGATAACCTTTTCGCTAATATACTTTTCTATTCTCGTTACTATTTTGCTGTACACTGCTTTGATATTACGAGGTGAAGTCACATGTCCATACCCTCTGAGAGTCAAAGGATAAACGGCAATCTCCTCAGGTTAAAGATAGGGGTTAATTTGTTGTTACGGACGAAGAACTCATGCCGACTCGAATCCCGGAGTACAGAGCAGTTGCTTGATACAGATTGTTTTGTTTGCATTAGGTGCAAGAGTTGCCTGATTATAACTTTGAAACACTCAAATCACTTGTGAATCATTTGAAGCTGGTGTCAGATAACTGTGACAAGAACAAGGTAAAGTGGATACTACTGTACAATCAATAGCATTGCACTTGTTTTAGCCACTAAGCTGTTAGCGGTGCTTCTATTTTTTGAGCTAAAATTGCTGAGACACTGTGATCGTTTGGTGAGA